TGCTGAAGCTCAGAAGTTTCATATTAAGAGAGATCCCCTGGTGTGCATTCCTCAGGTTCACATCTTGTTTGCTGAATCCTGTAGGATTTCTTTCATCAAACCTCACGGAATTACTCCAAAACTGTTCTGACCATGCCTTGGTGTGGAGAGCCACTATGGTGGTTCCCAAAAGTGGAGCTGAAGCACACACCAACAGGTCCCAACACCGCTGGAAACCTCACTGACACTGATAAACCCACAGAAAGGTGGCAGCTGCTTGGGCAGGTAACCAGAAAACAGCCATAGTCAGCTCAACCATCTGCAGCCAGAGCTGAGTTTGCTCTTCCCATCCTGCAAAGCCTTCTGAGCACGCAGGGTGAGGGCGAGCAGCCTCCTCAAGCACATCTCAAGCACAGCACCGTCACCTCACTGGAGCCTTTCGCCTCCTGTCCATCTCAGTAACACCAGAGTCCTCTCTGCGTTAAGATCAACCTGAAAGTTGGACCTGAAAGTGCTTCATCCACCCCAGAAATCCCAGAGACAGAACTGAACTCGTTCAACCTCGTGCCACAGGATCCTTCAGCACTCCAGGCACCATCAGTAGCAACATCCACGTCCGCTCTTGTTGAGGCCGCTTTTTACGAGCCCTCCTTGGGTTTCTCATCTCTTCTCTGATCTGTCCCTCCTTCTGTTTAATGAAGAGACAGTTTTCAACAATCAGCAACAGATTTGCTGTTAAGACTGAAGCTGCTTTTCCTCGCTCTGAACGGCTGAGCCTCTGAAGTCTTGCTTGAGGTCAGGGGAAGGCAAGATGTTTCAAAAACGGGAGAGGAACTGCTGGGTTTGAGCGCTGCTGTTTCTCCAAAAGTCTGTCTAAGTTCAAAGCCATACTCGTGGCGTGGGCTGTGGGTGAATATTCCATTTTGTCACAAGTTTTGAGGTTTTTTTTTTTTTAAAAATGTCTTTTTGTTGTACGCTGGAAAACAAACAAAACCCTTCCCATGTTTCCGCAAAGCAGAATGCTGTCAAAACATTTTTGTTGGATAAGGTCAGGTTTTTTCTCTCCCTCTTTCTCTACACACAAGTGACCGATGCCTTGAAACCCCCCTTTGAACACGTCATTGAGACCCAACATCTCAACGCTGAGAAAACAGCAAAGTTCAGTGAAATTCAGAGCATCAAAACATCCCGACCAAGTCTCCATATGCGCTCACGCAGCGGGATCCGGCACTGCACTAACTGGCAGACCAGATGCAAAACACATTACTGTCAGCAACCGAGGGGCAAAACCAAACTCCTGCTTGCACAAGATTTCATCTGGAAACTCCAATTGCTCAGCCACCGTATCAGGGGGTGTTTTTGGAAAGCGCCTTCCTTTCCCACACCACCTCCTCCCTAACATGACACATGTAAGTGGCTCTGTCAGGTTAATTACAGCCCAGGAGTTTGACAGATCAAAGTCCATTTAATAAAGCTCCTGCTGTTGTACAGTGGGGGTTTGGGGCTGCTTTTATCCAGCATAGTCCCAGCAGGAAGGCTCATTCAGAGCAGTGGGATTCCTGCTCGCTGGCATTTACTTGTCCCCAAACCACACCTTCAAGAGCAGGTTCATCAGAAGGAAGCAAAGAATTTCTCTCCTGCCCTGCTGCTCTTTCAAGGTCCCTGGGCCACCAGCTTCACTGTGGCCACAGGACTTTTTGACCAGAGAAGGGACATTTTCAATATCTTTCTTGGGTCATGGAGAAGGACAACTAGAAAATTCTTGTTCTCACTTGCAGTGGGTTACGTCACAGGTAACAGAAAAGAACTGATCTAAGGTTTCTGCAGTTTGAGTTGGATTTAGGCAGTGTTGTTTCAAAGGGAGTCATGAGCTAGTCATCTGTTATCTAAATAACACTTTGCATCAGTTAATAGGAAAGTGCCTCACAGAGGTCAGCCTCAGCATATGGAACAAATCCCGGGATCCCGATAACGTTTTTACTTCCTCCTTTTCAGGCAAAACTCCCAACAGCAGGATATGTAAAAAACGGAGTAAGGGATTCAAAAGTCTGCCAAGTCTACAGCTTGAAATCCACGACAATATTCTGCTGTATGAATGCATTACTGGTACAGAGACACTGCTGATCCCAACCAGATCACAGCACCGTACCAACATCTGTCCATTTAGGGGTTAGATACTTAATTATGGGTATTAGATACTATTAAACACCCATAATAAATGGGTGTTTAATAAGAAAAGGAGCTGGAGAGACACTGCCAGGCTTAAGTTAGGTTTTAAAAAGCCAGTATCTTCTTCCAACAGTAACTGAGAAAGTGCTATATGAAAATCATGAAACAGTTTAAAACTCTGTCGTTCCTTTCATCTTTGTACTTGGAAAAGGAGTTTCCTTTTCAGTTAGTTTGGAAATGAAGAGACTGGTGAGGTTCAGGTATGTCCCAGATGCATTCCATAAAACTAATACAACTGACTGTAAATGCAACAGGGACTATTAAGTTTTTATTTCTAAATGATGGTATTGTTCAAATTAAACCTATTCCTGGTAATACTAGAAATCTGCACAAGGCACAAAGGTCCAATCTGGATCTGAACATCATTCTGCATCTGCACTTCAATCAAATGGTTTGTTCAGATCCATCTCTAATGATTAGCTTTGATCATCTCTGCCCCATCCCTAGCTGCCCTTTACTGGGGAGGTACTTTTCCTGGCATTGTCCCTATAACTTCATTAGTCATTTTAGGCTTCACAGTGAGCTGGGACAAGGTAGGGGCAACAATATCTCTTCTGTAAGAGGTTAATACTTTCTTCTTAGCATGAGGGCTGAATTGCAGTTTTAGGGGTCCCGAATGCTCACAGGAGGAAACTCATTCTCGTCATCAAGACACACTGGTCCAGTTGCAAACTCATGCTCTGGGATAACCTCTCCTCGCAGGGCACCACCGTCCTCCGAATAACCTGTCCAAGTCAAAATACAAAACGTTACGGAGAAATGGATGGGAGGAGGCTGGAAACAAACACTGGAGATGCTATTTTATCACCTTCTTAGCACAGAGCTGCTTTCTCTGGCTTTTTGGCAGAGAACTGGGTGACTGCAGAAGGAAAGGTATCTCCATCAACACTAGAGATTAGAGAATGGACTACGTGGCTAGCTCCTGTGGCAGCAGCTTTCCTCCTCCCACCATGAATGCAAGCACCAATTCCAGAACAAGATCCACATCTGAATGTGGACCTTTAGATTTGGGAATATAATGAGATAGTCACCCAGTCTTCTCTCGTAACAACTTAGTGCTCGCTTCATTAGGGTAATGTGTAGCAGGTTCAGGAGAGTCTGCAGTGATCTTTCCACAGAAATAGTGAGATCTGACTTCTACACCCACGGTTTCAGCTCCTGGAAACCAGCCTGGCAGCAGCTGCTGTCTGACAAACTGTGAAGCTCGGATGTGGTTACTGCTCTGCTGGCAAACCCGTTTGTGGTGCAGCTCTGCACAAGGAGGAGAAGTGCTGGCAAGGGGTCCTGAGAGGCAGAGCAGAAAATGCCTGGCCTGTTTTTGGGGCAGGGGATTGAACTGGGTGAGCTCCAGAGATTCCTG